TCTTGTTTGTACAGAAATCAAATTAGTGTAATATGTTCCAGGTTTTAATTTTGGGGTAATTTCATATGGAGGATGCCATCCTGCATAGCAAGAAAAACAGAGGAATGATTTGTATTTACCCTGCAGACTGGGTTTAAATAGTATGGATTGCATGTTTTAGTTGTATCTGATAACAGAAAAACATCAATAATATTTGAGATCTAATTATTATGTTAAGTGCTTATGGATTTTAATTAGGTTGTACAGTTAACCTTGACCCTATGTGTCAGAACAAGAAGGTGTATGTATGTTTTTGGAATTCTGAGAATGTTAATTAAATTGTTTTACAAACGTACTATTTGAGTTAATTAGTGACCAATTCACTGTCTAGTATTCTACCATGTTTTAAGAAATATGCTAGTGTCATTGGGGATTGACTTTTAAGGGGGTGAGGTCCAGTTTTGGTTGGATGCCAATATCTATACCATACTTGAACAAAAGAAGGCAGTCAATATGACACGTCTCGTTAATGCTGTGCTTAGCACAACCTAAGTCTGGAAATGTTCACCAAAGAAATTGATATGAGAGTGGGAAAAAAATAAATTATTAAAGGCACAAATTGGTTCTTTCTTTTAAATCTTTAGTAAAAATTAGCTAAATGTAAGAAAAAAAGAAATTATTATATAAAAAAGAAAAAAAAAAGAAAAATTTTATGTAAGCAAATGTTTCATGAAAACAATTCTAATTCCTAATGAATTCTTCTCTCATACAAACAAAGAATTTGGAATTTCAAATAAATTCCGTATCAATTCTATGCATTTCCCAAACGAAAGAATTGAAATGACTTGGAATTTCAATTCATAGAATTCCAATTCTATAGAATTTCAATTCTAATTCAATTCTAATTCTGTAGAACCAAACGTACCCTAAGATTTTTTTAATTTAAACCTTTTGAATCATGATATCACGGTCATTTGTACCAATTCGTACTTGAAACTAGCTACTGTTTCTAGCCATGAAATATACAGCCAGTCTGTTGCTATCATGAGTGTAAGTAACGTTTGAATGACTGTGTAAGCTCCTTTTTGTAATCTCCAGATCCCAAATACTTACTCGCAATCAATTTTCTTGATGTCTGATTACTTTTTTTCACTTGTTGGGGAGGTCTCTTTCTATTACATATTGGGCAGTATATATATCGTAAGCAAGTGTGATTCACTGAGCTACGATATTGAGGTATGGCATTTTGGCCTCTCAACTTGCTATGGGTTTGTGACCAGTAAAATGAAATGATATTTTTTAGGTCAGGTATGATTATGTGACTTGCCAAGACACTTACCAAGGGCTTCCAAGATTTACTTGTGAACATTTATCTTTGTATCTTTTTTATCATGTTCCTAGTGGTATACCAAGAAACATTTATCCTGGTCATTTGACAATAATGATTTTCTCTTTGGCAACCTTCCAGATCAATATACATTTCTCATTATCTGCTGCAAATCTCTTCTCTCTTCTTGCTCCCTCATTGGTTCTTTCATCTTCCAAGGAGATGCCATGTAGAGAGAGTTAAAGGATAAGTCTCGGAAGATTTCTTCATCAGAGAAGGCCTGTACTGGTTGGGAAGATGAATACGATGTTTCATCCAAGCAGGTAAACAAATTCCGACCTTGTTACTATAAATTTGTCTTCAAAACAGCTATCATGCTGGTTATCTGTTTTTGTTTTCTTGTTTGCTTAAAGGATTTGGTGATATTGGTATAAGTGATATGACCAGTACATGAAGTAGAACGTCAGTTATTTGATGACTATCAGAAGTCCTGTGATTGTTAGATGGTTGTGTGAGTAAGTAATAGATTGGAGTTGCTTCTGATTATCGAATTTGGGATGGACCATAGCTAGCACTAAGAGTACATCTGTGGATCTGTGCTAGGAACCACACTTAGCAACAATCAGTAAATTTCCAAAATTACCTATTTTTTGAGGAACTCCTTATGTATTTTCACAAGTGGATATTTATGCCGTATTGGCTAATTGAGATTACTTCATTGTGACAACCAAAGAGTTTGTGGACAGAACTCAAGTAAAATCACTTCAACTATGGAGCAATGCAAACTCACCCAATATGATCTAACCTTGTCCACTGACAAAAGTACTTGCTGTTCCAGGCCTCGAAGTCAATTACTTTGATAATCAAAAAGTTAGATGTTCTCATAATGTGATTTGAACAAGTTTTTTAATAAAGAAGATATCCAATATCACAATATAATGCTTGTGAATAATTTAAAATGGCATGTAGATGATATGAAACTCAATTCATTGTCAGTTTCTAGTCCTTATAATCTAAACTTCTTGTTAACTTCTTGTACTTAGATAATACACAACTTTTTAACTGTTTCTTGTACTTAGATAACTTGTGTAAGGTTGTAATAGCATATTTTTTTACTAAAGTCTATACTAATGCATATAATATTTTATTCTCAATGCAGTCCAGTTTGATATTGATCACGAGGAGATTGTTGGATATGATGATAGAGATGGTTGAAGTCCGACATTGGTGGTGCAATCTTTGCTTTAGTTTAGAAAGCTAGTACTCTATTTTTTGGGAAGGATGCATATTGGCCATTAGTGCTTGAATTGATTATGTGGGTTTTGGGACACAACATTTCTGGTTAACTTCTATTTTGATGAATTCACAAATGTTTATGGCCATATATATGAATTTGTAGCTTCATTCTACATGAATTTTGCCTTTAGTCAAATTGAATGTTCTACTATAATTTGTTGAAATTGCTATGACAATGCTATATTCATAATGGTTAATTTCAACTCTTCAAAACAAAGCTCAGTGACAACCTTCGGAGGCTGTCACTAATGAGAAATTATCTAATGACAAAAAAAAGTTGTCACAAAATAGAAAATAAAAACTCTTTGTTACAACAGAGACTGTCACTAAATCTAAGCTACATTTGTGACGACAATTGTTGTCAGTAAAATAGTTATATACAATGGCTTTCGGTGCTTTTTAGTGACGACCTTAAGTAGAGCATTTTTGACAAAAGGTCAATTCGTCAATAAAACACTTCCGGATTGTTGTCACTAATGACAACTATTTAGTGACGACATTTCAGGTCGTCACTAAATAGTGTGCTTATTTCTGACGACAATCTGGAAGTGTTTTATTGACGACTTGATCTTTTGTAAAAAATGCTCTACTTAAAGTCGTCACTAATGACAACTATTTAGTGACGACATTTTAGGTCGTCACTGTTTACTTTTACCGACGGGGATTTAGTGACGACTTTGTGACGATCAAAAAGTCGTCAATGAAAGGTATTTGTGACGATATTTGTATGTTCTGTGATGACTTTGTGTTGTCACTGATGAACAATTTTCTTGTAGTGATCAGACCTTCCTACCAGACTACCTATTGGTCATCTAATTGAATTAACTATCAAGTCGAGCATTTGCGGGTATGGGGTTTTTCCCTACCCGTTGCCATCTTTACTGGTAATTTTAAGCAATAAGAATAACTCACATATGACGCATGAAAAACTAATTAAGTAGGAAAATACATTCTTTTGTTAAATTAGGTTAAAAAACCGAGTGGTTTTTATTTGGGAGCGGTAGGGATAAAGAGATTAGTTTCAAATTTGTAGTTTAACAAATTTCTTATTTTTTCTAGTTAATTAGTTATTGACATGCTGGGACTCAAGTTATTAGTCCAAAATATTATGATCTAAAGTTAGCTGCTGTTTTGCTCTTTTATTTTCAAATTCAATTTAATGGCCACATAAGGGCACGTGGCTGAATTCCATCAGTAATTGAAAAAAACCCTTCAATTGTTCTTTATCTGCTTCAAATTGGATAAATCGAGGACCAGATTTGTTGAAGACTAAAATTGTGGAAATGCTAAAAATTGGGAGCCGAATTTATTTTTTTAGGGACTAAAACTGTATATGCGCTAGACATTAGTAACCAAAACTGTATTTCTTCCAACTTTAGAAAGCCAAACTTCCATTTGAAAAGCCCCTTAGCCTTTCAACTTTAAATAGCAACAACGTTTCTAAAGTATAAAACTTATATCAGGAAACATGAATCCAACACTAATCGTCTTGGAAAAGTTCGTAACTAGCTCAGATAAGCAAGTTGAGTAAGAAATCTGGGATCACAATCCTAAAGCACCAATCTTAGATACATCACTGTTTTGGGATCCTACACTTTCAAATATTTTCAGATTAAATTAAAATGTCCACCATGCAAAACGTTGATATTCCTCCTGCTTCATAAAGTACACAAATGTGTCTGCTTCATGAGTTTTGTATTAGATGTCGGAAAGTAAAATATCTATGACGATCTCCATACAAAATATGAGAAAGAACGTAAATTTTTGAATTCTTGATGTGGATTGTAATTTAGGAGGAACATGGAGGATTTGGGAAGTAGGAAAGTGTTCAAAGTAATAGAAAGGCGGAGAATAGGAAGCGAAGAGCATGGTGGAGAAATATTTCGTATATGGATTAATTGGCTTGACCACGGCAGGAAATGTTTTGGCAGTATTCCTAACCAATACAAGTAAACAAACATAGGCCTTGTTTACTTTAAATTTTTCAAAATTTGATTACGAGAAGTGATTGATTAGAATTAGCAAAAGCAATTCTTTGCCTGATTTTGGATATGAGGTCTTTTTTTTTAATTGTTCAGCTATTAAAAAATCTACATTCTGAATACAAAAATAAAAGAAAATATCAACAAACTGATTATTCAAAATTAGAATTTATAATCAACTAAAACAGTTAAATGAGAGCACGTCCTTAGTTTTGTGGGACCTACTGAAAATGAATGGATCTTCTTTCTTTTCCCTTTTTATTTTTATTTTTTGTATTTAATGATTGATAATGGTATCCTATAAATAGGGGAAGCCACAATACTTGCTTTCCGAAGTATAGAGCAGCAAATCGTTGAGGATTGTTTATTTTTTTCCAAACTTTTGCCATAGAGAAGCTAGAAAAATAACTAATAAGATGGCGCCCAACCTGGAGATACTATCAATAGAGATGATTAAACCTTCATCACCAACGCCCCATCACCTTAGAAAGCATAATGTATCCTTACTAGATCAACTTGCACCGCCAATTTACATTCCACTCATTTTCTTCTATCAGCCTAGCCAGTTGCATACTTACAAAGATCATGCCCAAATTTCTCAGTTCCTCAAGCGTTCGTTGTCCAATGTTTTGTCTAAATTTTATCCCTTAGCTGGAAGAATTTCCAGTAACAATGTTTCAATCGATTGCAACAATACTGGTGCTTTGTTTGTTGAGGCTCAAGTTCATTCTAATCTCTTGCAGGTCACAGAAAAGCCTAGCATGGAGGATATGAAACAGTATCTGCCACTTGAGCTTAATGGTGGAGGCCTTCCCATGAACGAGGCTAACACTGTCCTTCTAGCTGTTCAAAGCAATCTCTTTGACTGTGGAGGCCTGGCCATTAGCGTTCAAATATCACATATAATAGCCGATGGCATTAACTCAGTGACTTTCATCAATGCATGGGCTGCAAGCTGCCGCGGAGATGCCGAAATTCCTCAATGTAGTTTCGATTTGGCGAGTTTATTTCCACCAAGAGACTTGGCCAACTGCGGTTTGACACCAACGACGGGTACCAAAAAGATTGCTACCAAACGTTTTGTGTTTGACAAGGAAAAGCTGGGAATACTCAAACAAGCTGCTGCTGCTGCTGCTTCTTCTCCTGAATCACAAGTGAACGAACCTACGCGGGTGGAAGCCGTTTCAGCCTTTTTCTGGAAGCATTTCATAGAGTTATCAAAATCCAGGGCAGATTCTAAGTCACACAAGATTGTTGCAGCTGCCCATCCTGTGAACCTGAGGCCTAGGATGAATCCTCCCCTGCCTGATCACGCCTTTGGGAACTTGTGGATCCATGCTCTCACAACTCTGACTGCCGAGGAAGACAAAGGGAACCTGGCTCGTGTTTTGAGTAACACATTGAGGAACATCGATAGCAATTATGTGGAGCAACTACAGAGTGGAGATAAGCATTTAGGTACTCTGAAGAAAGCAGCGGAACTACTCTCCAAGGGTGAGCTAGAAGTTTGCATCACTAGTTGGTGTAGGTTTCCTGTGTATGAAGTGGATTATGGTTGGGGAAAGCCGACATGGGTGTGCCCTACCACCGTTCCCTTGAAGAACTTCGTTGTATTGATGAGTACAAGTTGTGGGGAGGGAATAGAAGCATGGGTGAATATGCTTGAAGAAGATGTGGCTAGTTTTGAGAGGGACCATACAGGTGTGATGTGATGCCTTCTTATGAATCTTATCTTATACGGGAGATTGAAGAACTGAATAATCCTGTGGTTCATGTATGAAATATCTAATTTTCAATTGTCCTAGCTAATATGGATTTGTATGAATAAAAGTGATGGATTGATTTTTCCTAGTTTGCGGTCTTTTCAGGTAATAAGTGGTTGATATTTTCAGAAGAATACACCCTTTTTTTTTTCCTTTAAATCCACCCACGTTAAGAACTAGTACATTTAATGTGAACACAAATTAACCATCAAACTAGTGACATTGAAATGATCACTCTAGAGCTTTACCTGCTCTTGATCTATTAAGTTCAACTGAATTAATTATTCACGATGTCGACATTATTGTCATAATTCAAGGAAATTAAGTTTAATATTTAGGTCAATAGATAACTGCATGCAGTTAGAAGTTTCTTCAATTGACAAGATTCAGTTGATCTCAGCTGTAGGAACATAAACAACAACATTTGCTTAAAACAAAATCAGGATATATATTTGAGTTCTCTTTGATACGGACATACATGCACGCCTATCCATTACCTTTATTTTGCTTTATTTTGTAATATTTCCAGCTCATTAATCTACAGAATCTGTTGTCTCAAATATCCCCATTATATCCCTATAAAACTTATTTTGAATGAAGCAAATATGAGAAGAGAAAGCACCTAGAGGAAAAGAAGACATTTAAATAGTATATTTGAATTTTATGAGAAGAAAAAGAAAGGAAGGAGAGGAATGTTATAACTTTCACTTTTTCCCCATACTTGAATAAGAAGAAATAGATTCGAAAGAGAAAAGGGTTTTTAAGAAACTAGATAAAATTCTAATTATGAAAAACGAAAAGCTCTCAAAATGTTTTGAAAGTGCATATCTGTCGTTTCGATTTCCAAGTAATCAATACTTCATGATAATGTTTCTATCTCTCTGACCATTTTGAGGGACAAAAGTTGTCATAAGTTGGAGCTTTATTCTGTATACATTTTTTTTACGCCTTTGTGTGGAAATATTAGATAATCATTTGATTCAACAAATCTTCAACAGTGAGAAATTGTGTTTTTGAAATGTTTAGAGATCAATATAAAAAATAATATTCTCGGGGCAAACAGCAACAAGGGTGATAAATTTAGTGGGAAAAGAGCAGTATGTTTCTTTTTGTTTTTCATAACATTATAGGGTTTGGATTCTTTATTAATCTGCTACGGATCAATGTTAGAAAAATAACTAAATCAGGATAGTATTAATTGGTTACTTAAGTTAGTAGCCATTGTTGGTTGATTGGCTAGTAGTGTTTGTTGTAATCTTTAGTTTTGGTTCTCGCCACATGGGATTGCATTTTAGATAATTTGAATTTACGCTGCACTCCTTAATCTATTTATACTATGAAGTATTTTATTTGTTCAAACTAATTGTTCCCATAAATCTTTAGCCAAATTGGAGTTAAATTCTATCTTCTTAAAAAAAAAAAAAAAAAGAAGCTCACAATTATGTTTTGTGGAGAACTTTAGTTGTCCACGCCAAATATACTGTACTCCTTTTGTAGATTGTTCATTTTCATGCATTCTTCATTATAAGTAATTTAGGAAAAATAATCTTTTGTTAAATTGCAGTAAAAATTTAAAAACCTATCATAATCTTTCAAGAAAGATATGAAAAATGAAAGCAGTAAAGCAAGCAAAGCGAGGTTTGTTTTACAATAACATGGAACTATTTAGATATAGACATAGAAGCCACCATACAGGAAGACTTCAAAAAAAAAAAAAAGATTTATGTTGCAATGAGCTCTCAAATACTCCAATTATGACTTCAAGAAGCCATTGTTCCATTCAGCATAAAAAGTATGGATGAATTTAAGCCCAACAAATTTGCAACTTCCGTTCTTTATCATTATTACGTTTATATTTATCATCTTTATAATTTTGTTTTTAAAGTTTGCTACTTTTGTATCTTTTTTTTTTTTTTGCTACTTTTGTATCTTTACTTTTTGAAAATTTTAATTATAGGCGGCGGCGGGTTTTGCAAAAAGAACTATAAAAAACTTGAAACTTCCTCAAGCATTTGTCATCCAAATTGGTTGATGCATCCAGGTAATAAGCCACTTAATTACCGTTAGTTGATTCATTTTGGTGAGTTTAAGAACTCTTTGATTAATGTCATTTTTGTGTTGGCAGTAATCTGCGGTGTGTACATATACGAAATCTTTTACAAAGGGAGGAGGATCTATATTTTATGCTCCTGTGTCTCAACCAATTTTTTATTGATATCTTGAATAACCTTTTATTACAAGAGATGAATTGACCATCATAGAAATTTCTTCCACATGAAAGTTAACATTATTTGACATATACATTCAAAAGTTTTACTAGCTTTTCACTATTTGACATGCACTCAAACTACTTATTACATGTTATGCGTATGTTTATACAGTCATTACTGCTATTGCTAAATTTATTACTCTGCTACAATCACTACTGGTCCATAGTAGTAGGGTAATGGTCCATTACTACTAATTCGAACTAATTCACAATTATTAGTTTAAATTCATAATTTTTATATAGATTTATCTAACGCAATTATTAGTTTAAATTCATAATTTTTATATAGATTTATCTAACGCCGGGGGAGGGAAGAAAAAAATCCCTCCACTCCTGCCCCAACTCTCATCCCATTATTCGCGAACACTTACGTCTGTTGCCATCCCTATGAATTGTCTGATCAGTGATCAGCTAAAGTTTCTTTTTTTTTTTTTTTTGAAATGAAACTAAATTTCATTAAAGTAAATCTGCATTTGCAGCATACATAATCTCTTTTGGAAAATTTACAAACCAAACATGGCTTCCCTCAAGTGTCAGAGACAAATGAGCCAAAACATGAGCAGGACCATTGTTCTTCCTTTTTACATGTGAAACCCGTATGTAGCAAAAGTCTTTGAGCATATCTCTGATGCCTCACTGATCAGCTAAAGTTTCTTTAATAGAGAAAGTAATGTATAGTCTAATTCATATGTATGGAAAAGTGATTAATATTACATATCCAAAAGTTTGAAACAGTAAAACGTTTGATAGCAGATAAAGGCGCCGAAGTTCTAACGCTTAACGTGTTAATGATAACTAACAACAATGTTTTGGCCAACTTATGCGCAAACAAAACGAGAAAAAAAAATGGAATTGTTTGAAACTGTAACTTTAGTGAGCATTTATTACTATGTTTACTGAACTTCAAGAATTTTGTATTCGTACCATGGAATCATTACTTGATTGTTCATGTCCTTGGAGGAAGTCAGTTTGCGTACCGTAAGTGCCTAGAATTAACGCGTTCAGATACAGCTGAATTGCATCCAACGAATTAAACTGCACCTTCCACATCAAAAACTTCCGAATTTAATTTCAGAAACCTCAAGCGATTTCACTGGGCTCCCTCCAAATTTTAAAAATTACACTAACCTCCCTTGAGGTTTCTAACTACTTCATAAGCCTCCCTCTAAATTTCAAAAATTACACTAACCTCCTCTGAGATTTATTAGCTTGTAACATTTAGGCCCAATCAATAATTAAAAAGTGATATTATGAGAGAAAAAATAACATGATTCCATCATTGCCCGTCATTTACTATATTATTTAATTAATTTAATACTAACCCACATATTAAAGAAAAATACTAAAATTTGTTGTTTATCATTAGGGATCAAATCACATATAATATCAAAAAAAATAGTATATCATTTTATATTTTTCCACTTAATGCAAGATCCAACTTATTCTTTTCACTTACATACTCATTATCAAACATATTCAATAACTAATAATCAAAAAATTTGCAATGAGGCTGAATTTTAACCACATAAATATTCTTGTCAACATGTTAGGGTTAGTTGCCTAAATTATTATTGTCTTAAAACTAGCTCTTTGTAATATATTGGTTATAGATTTTTTTGATTATTTATTATTGATCGCGTTTAATAATGGATTTGTAACTAAAAAGAGCACTTTGGATCTTACATTAAGTGATGTATATAAAATGATATACTATTTTTGATATTATATGTGATTTCATCCCTCATGATAAACAACAAATTCTAATATTTTCTTTTATGTTTGGATTGGTATTAAATTAATTAAACAATTTAATAAATAAGAGACAATGGTGGAATCATATTATCTTCTCTATCCTAATATCACCTTTTAATTTTTGGTTAAACCTAGATGTTACAAGATAATAAACTTCAATGAAGGTTAGTATAATTTTCAAAACTTGGAGGGAGGCTAGTGAAATCGATAAAATTCTCAGGGGAGGTTTCTAAAATTATCCCATTTACTTTTAGCACCACCATATTTCACGGATTATTTTTTTTAAAAAATGCAAGATTTGTTTCGGTGCAAAATAGGCCACGAGATTGGAACCGAGTTTTTTGATCAAGTTTTTTAGCTACAAGTTTTTTAACAACTTTAGCTACAGAAATCAAAAAAAAACTTAACAAATTTTTTAACCTGCACAGTTCAAAATATCTAATACACAAAAAACTTCCTCTTTTCTTCTTCTTTCTCCCCCACCCTGACAGGGGCCGAACCTGTGCAATAATAAATACCTGCTCAAATAAAATACAAATTCTGCATATAGCGATAAGCAGGGTTGAATCCACAGGGACTGGGGATAATTTATTTCTTTTAGAGTCCGAAGTGTGGGGGGTTTTTGGAAAATGAGAGTAACTAAATTACTTGGAATAAATTAAAATAAAATATAATAACTACAACTCAAATAACTAATTATCACAATGAAAATAATAATGGACGAACTCTAGCCAAGAGACAACTTCAGAGATGATTCACTTAATTCGATCACAGATGCAAGGATTATTCCAGTTACTATCTGATAAATTAGTTATAGTTGTCATACACGCGATAAACAACCAACTCTTCCTCACTTTGTCGATAGCCAAGGTACGACCGTTGACTATTTCTCTAATCAGGAAACAACCCTAGGTACGACCATAGAAGT